TATATCTCTTCATTCATAATAGGTATTTAGAGTTTGTTTTTCTTGCTTGGCTTACCACATTGTGTCTATTTTACTGCTCTCGTCAAAGATCCATTTCTTGGGTTTGAATGTTAACCCCATTTTCTAACTGACTCCTGTCTCTTAGTTATTAATAACAGCTCCATGAGTTCCTTGCCTAGTTTATAGTTTTTCATATTCATGGAGTATAACAAAGTAAAGTGTGTGAGTATATGAGGATCTGAATTTTCTCTATGTATATATTTGGAGTATATTTTGAGGTCTCTCTCTCTCTCTCTCTCTCTCTCTCTCTCTCTCAACAGGGTCTTGCTGTGTCCCTCAGAACTCACAAGTTTCTTGCCTCAGCCTCCGAGGCTGGCCTTGAACTCACAGAGATCTGCCTGCCTCTGCCTCCCGAGTGCTGGGATTAAAGACGTGCGCCACCACGCCCGGCAATTTTATTTTTATGAGTATGAGTGTATTGTCTGCATGTATATAAGTGCACCTATGTTGTGCCATGCCCTTGGAGGTCAGAAGAGAGCATCAAATTTCCCTGAAACTGGAGTAATGGACAGTTGTTACTTGCCATGTGGGTGCTGGGAATCTGGTCCTCTGCAAAAGCAGTCAGTGCTCTTAATCCCTGAGCCACCTCTCCAGCCCTCTCCCAAGCACTTTTAGATTTGAATTTCTTTTAATTCTGTTATTCACTTTATTGCCTGGTGATCAGTGAATGTAGTCTATCTGTTATTTGTAGTCTTACTGGAGTTATGGATGGTTGTTAACCACCATGTGGATGTTGGGAACTGAAAACAGATCCTCTGCAAGAGCAGCCAGTACTCTTAATTATTTCTCCAGCCCCCATACCCTGTCATTAAAGTGTGTGTGTTTATGAAAATATCCTATCACTTTTTGGATTAAGATTATGGTTTTCATCAGTTCCTCCTGTTTTGTTTTGCAATTTACTTTCTGATGGAAAGTTCCTAGATAGTTATGTCTTCATGTAATATATGCTGATGTAATCTCTTCGATGACTGTTATTTTGGCCTAAATTCTATTACTTTTATCTGTTCTAACTTAGATTAGTGATGACTGAGGTATGTTTGTTGGCCTTTGTCTTTATTTTTCCAGCTTTGTCTTTAGACTTGCTATTTTAAGTGAATTTCTAGTAAGACAACACATGAGCACACATACACACACCAAGCGTGCATACATGCTGTCCTAGTTAGCTTTCTGTTGCTGTGATAAAAACACTGACCAAAAAGCAACTTGGACAGGAGGGGTTTCTTTGGCTTACATGTCCCCATCACAGTTTATCACTGAGGAGAACCAGGGCAGGAACTCAAGCAGGAACCTGGAGGCAGAAGCTGAAGCAGAGACCTTGGAGGAAAGCTGCTCACTGGCTTGCTCTTCTGGTCTGTACTCAGCTTGCTTTTTTATACAACTCAAGACCACCTGCCCAGATGTGGCACCACCCATGGTTGGCTGGGCCTTCCCACATCACTCAACAATCAAGAAAATGTCTTACATATATGACCACAGACGAATCCTATGGAGGAAATTCCCCAGTTGGGGTTCCCTCTTCCCAGATGTGTCAAGTTGACACACATGCAGACAAAAAGCATGTAAAACCATATACACATAAAATGCCCCCCCACACTTGTAGTTTTGGTTGGGATCAAGTTGAGAACCTAGCTTCTATGGTTTAAATGATGTATGGATTCTGTTTTCCTCCCTATTTTGTCGTCTCTTCATGTGCCACCCTTTTGCTGTCTTTTGCTGCATATTGATCAAGTCTATTGATCAAGTCCCTTTGTTCTTTTCTGCAAACTATGCAAAAATTGACTGCACTTACCACCCCTCCCCTTAATTGCTCCTTCCCAAGCCCAAGATTCTGAGTTCCAGCATTGGAATGAAATGACACACAGGCTACCAGCAAGCTCAGATTCCTAAGCACATTGGAGTTTCCACCGCCCCCCTTCACTCGCCCCCAAACTGGTCTTACCCCCCCTCCCCCAACACACAAAGGACTCTCCCACTGCCCTCTTACTCTGCCACCCATAACTTGTCTGGCTTTTGTTTGCCTTGTTCCCTGGATTCATTCCTTTTTTTTTTTTTTTTTCCCCACCCCTCTCCTTATCTTTTCAGCTCTGGCTCCAACAGCTGCTCTGTTTCACAACTCCAGGAATCTCCTCTATATCTCTGTCTTCAGCTAGTGCCACCTATGACTGTGACTGCCAAGTCTCTAGCCCAGACTCTTATATGAATGCTAAGGTAATATATACAACTGTTCTGAGGCTCAAGTGAAACTTCATATTTGAATGTGACTCCATGACCTTCCCTCCTGCCACCATGCATATAGCCCTTTGCCTTCATCTCTTCAAACTAACATCTAGCTGTTGCTCAGGCTAGAAACCTGAGGTCATTACCTGACCTTTCCTGCCCCTTCCTTCTCACATCCTAATGCCAAGTCCAAATGATATTTGGACATATTTCTTGGAACTAGCCACTTCTCTCCAGCTCCACTGCTAATTACCTGGTGTGATGGCCATCTGTAACCTGGACCAGGATGACAGTCTCCTTGCTGGCCACCCAAGTTCCATTCTTGTCCCTCTAGAACCCATTTTCTATGGGGCATCCAAAGAGAGCTTGTTGAAATAGACCATAGCACCTTCCATAGGTTCCCCTCTTTTAGAATTAGTACCAAAACCCTATTGATCTGGCTTGATAGCTTCCCCCAACTTTCCCTCCCTTCTCATCTCTATTCTTATACAGCTGCCCAGCCTTCCTTCAGATCCTCCAAAATGCTAATCACATTCCAAGTTCCCCCAAACCCCTTGTCCTGGCATCCTCACTCCCATCACATCTGTGATGCCGGCTCCTTTATACCCCAGCCAAAATGGTTAGATGCCATTGGAGAGAGACTGTCCCTGAACCTCTGGTAAAGGAGCCAGTCACAGCATGGGTTCATCAACACCATGCTTATGAGGTTTTAGTATATGTTTAGCATGTGTTTCCCTCCACTAACATGTAAACTTGACTGAAAGCACCAGGTTTGTTTTAACATTCACCTTTTGTTCAAGGACAGCAGTACGTGACTAGTGTACAATAAGTGTCAGTGAATTGGCACCCTCCTGGAAATCCCCTGCAGAGAGAGAGCCACACACAAGTGGAAAATTCCACATCTGACCTCTTTGTTGGCAATCAAAATATGGGCACAAGCCTTCGGACTATGTGTGAAGTTGTGTATGACATGAACGTGAATTTTTGAGTTGGGCCTGGAGGTGCAACCTGTAATTCCAGCACTGGGGAGACTGAGGCAGGAGGATTCAGAGTTCAAGGCCACATTGGGTCACATAGCAAGTTCTAGGCCAGACTCAGCTACCAAGTAAAACTTTTTTGAAAGAGGGGAGAGGCTTTACAGGGTAGGTGAGAGAAGAAAGAGGAAGAAAAAGCAGACAACCCAGCCAGGCCTGGTGTGCAGGCCTGTAATCCCAGCTACTCATGAGGGAAATAATTACGAAGAATTCGAATCTTTTCTGTCAAAAGAATGACAGAATAACCTTTGCAATGCTATTTTATAATCCCCCACACCTTGTAAAAGTTTCGTTCACACAAAGGCCCAGAGCAGCCCCTCCTTTCATTTCCTTTGCTCTGATTCTTTTTAAACTAGTCAACTGTAAGACTGTGGGGTTGGACCCCAGCCAACAGGGTGAAAGACACAGTACTCTTGTGTTAGGATAAAAGCCAATCAAACTTCCATAACAGTGTGTTTGCTCATTGGAATGAGGCAATACACCCTTTTGCAAAAGTAAAAGCTGCCTTGCTGAGTTACTCTTGGTTTGTCCTATGTTCTTTGTGTGGTTATCAGTGGGATCTTTGGACCTCAGATTTTATTTCTAGAACTCAGGAAGCTGAGGCAGAATGATTATGAGTTCAAGGCCAGTCTGGAAAATTTAGTGAATCCTCTCAGTGGTTCAGTGGTTAAGAGTACAGGCTGATCTTGCAGTGGACCTGGGTTTGGTTCCCAACACCCACAAGGCGGCTAACAACTGTTTGTAGCTCCAGTTCTAGGAATTCTGATTCCCTCTTCTGGCCTCTGGGGGTATTGCATGCATGTGGTGCCCTTCCATACATGCAGGTAAAACATTCATATACCCCAAATAAAATTTAATCAATCAATCAATCAATCAATCAATCAATCAATCAATGATTAATAAAAATAAAAGGGGGCTGAGGATATAGACCAGTGATAGAACACTTATCTAACATGCACAAAGCCCTAGGTTCAATCCCCAGCAGGGCACAAAAAGGGAGAAATATATGAATTATGTTTTGACTGGGGTGTCATCCCCAAGAGAGCTTGTTATGCATATGCAAAGCCAATAAAAGTCTCTGAAATCCAAAAGCTACCTTTTGGATCCAAGCATTTTGGAAATTCTGCCTGCACTATCTATGCTACTTACATTTCTCTTGGCAAATTGTCCAATCCTCATCTAAAACATCCAGATAGCAGCAAAGCACACAGAACTTCTAAAGGATTACATGAGAAACCTAAACACTTGGCACCATGATCAGTACACAGTAAGAGCTTAATAAATAATAATATAATCACATAAATCACACATACATACATGCACTTTGGAGATGTCTTTGCTTGGCATAATCTTCCTCCTGCCCAGCTTGAGAAACTTCAGGTTCTATGATCTTAACTATGTCATATCAAGAGCACACTCCAAGTCTTTAACATTCGCTGATATAGTAAATCTAATTAAAATATAAATACTGCCTTCCAGATCTGCCACGGTTTCAAGTAGCCTCCATTCCATGTACCCCATGAAGGTCTGTGAAGAGTAAATATACACGTTTTTCCCGACACAACACCTGTTGAAAGGAGCACAGTAAAATTGCCTTTGAACTTCTCATCAAATTCTATAAGCACAGGTTAATAAGGCAACTTCCCTCAGTGAAATGTGTCCCACGGAAGAACATAACAGCCAGAACAATTCAATCTTTATCATTTATTATTTTTATTTGGACAACATATATACATATGTACAAAATACCTACGGTCAGAATCCTCTTATAATTTCATTTGATTTACAAAAACGGGACAGCAAAATAACTTAGGTCACTAATACTGTACAAAAATAAAACTGATTAAACAGTTGTAAGGATCAGTATCTTACAGTGTTACAGACCATTCATCCGCTGTGAAAGAACATCTTGATCTACCCAGGGTGATGAGTACTGTGCTAAATCTATCTGCAAACTGACAAACTAATTGGCTTCTGTAATTATAACTACCAAATATAATTCTCAAAAAAGCGTGATGTGGAGCTTAAAGCTGGGGCATCATTCCACAATGGTGAAAGGCTTTCTTCTTCCCTAACCAAGGAGAGGAGATATCTTAACTCTAAAACTATTATATTTTCCATGAATAACAACTACTTACAGTATTAGATAAAACAGCTTTTCTTTCTTTTTAAACACCTGCAATAATCTTTCAAAAATTCAGTTTGGTTAAAAAAGTAAACAAAAATTACTATCCTGCATTTGGATTTTTATAAGTTAAATCCATGGTCTTTTTAATATAAAAAGTAATTGTTTCATAGTTTTAGTGTTCAATGAACTCTAGTAGTCCTATTTGAACCATATCTTGATATAGTAAATCTAATTAGAATGCTGGTTCCTGTTTTGCGACATTGTAAAACAGGATTTATCACAAAGAATAAAAAGCCTTGAGTTTATACGTTATGTTACTATAACATATAAGAGAATATCAAATGTGTGTCTGTCAACAACTTGAAAAGGCAAATAGCAACTCTTTCGGGAAATGAATTGTGCATTTTTTTAAAACAAGTTGCTGCATTTATATTGATCTAAGTATGTGACAAAAGCCACATAGAGATTTACTCCTGAAACAATAGAGATTGTCTTTCACTGACTTTGTTTTCCTTCATTTCCTTCTGTGAGGGGAAGCTGAGTTTTTACAAGTTAGAAAGTTGCTAGGCAACCCCAAACTCCTCACTCACCAAAAGGCAGCGTGCAGAGCATCCTATGAGCCATCCCATGAGCTCAGGAAGAAACAGGCAGCCTAACCTATTTCATATGGAAGAACAGATGTCCTTAAAACTTATTTTGCACACAGAAATTAAAATTTGGTTTAAAATAAGCGTTTCAAAAATCTGAAACAGAGGTAGAAAGTGTTCTTTATTTTTCCTGACGTGTTTTCTCATGAGAAAACACTTTCCTTTTTAGCTCATGGACTGCTCCCAGTCCCTAATGTTAAAAGCAGTTCTCTTGATAGAACTACTAATATAACTACGTTGGTTAAACAGAAAACACCGTGCTAGTGATGGCTGTTGTATTGGAAGTTGGAGTCAGCTGTGACCCGTGCCCGCTGCAGGAGCGCCCGCTGCTGACATGGAAGTGAGCATGTGCCGGATGAAATGCAGAGCTCGTGTGCAGGTGGGCACCCTGCGTTTTGCACCCCGTATGTAGCACATGGATAAACTAGAGTGCACCATAGCTCCCTGTTTTAAATGTCAGATAAAATTGTCAGAAAGCAGTATTTCTGAAGAAAAAAATGTAAACATTTCCCCCATGATCACTGCTGACTCCCCTCATTTGAGGTTTTTGTTTGTTTTTGCTTTTTAACTAAGAAAACTCAGTTTATTTTTCTGGCCATGTAGAAGCCAAACTTAAGTTTCCGGTAAGTGGCATAGAATGGATGTGGTGGTTTAGGCCATTGCAGACATTCAGATACAAGCTAGATAGTGGTTGGCTACTGATGCCCACGGTTCAGTGACGTGGTTCATACCCATGTGTTTCTTTGACTTATGTTTACCAAGAGGAGCTGTCCTGCAGTCACCTCCAAAACCATCGTGGTATTGTCCCTGGATACTTACTACTTACAGGGGCATACTTTTTTTTTTTTTTTTTCATTTCAGCTCCCTTTCCTTTGACAGAACTCTTGCACCTCATAGTGGGAGTTTCATAGGAACGTGGGAAGGAGACCAAAAAGCATTCTCTCCACAAAATAGGCATTTTTCCAGGCCTGGTGATGGTTATGCACCCATGTATCAACACCGGACAGAGCCCAAAGCTCTGCTCTGTCTCTTAGGGGCGTAAGTATAGTAAGATGTTAACTGAAGGGACAGGGAAATTTGAACAAATTCATAGAGTTAAAATTCTGTTTGCTTGGTTTTGTATTTTTTAAAACACTACCTTCCTCTTTCTCCTCCTCCTCTTCCTCTTCCTCAGCATGTGTTATGTAATATTCTGCCCTCACATCTCTGCCATGAGTTCTTAGGGAAACATGTGTACTGTAAAATAAGCAGATTATAACGTGGTGCCAAACAGAATGTCTGCTTCTATCCTCAAAGCATGTGTTAACTTATTCACCCTCTGTATTAGAAAATAAAGGTGCAGCTTATGTTCAAAAAGTACAACTGATACAAAGCAAGGTTTGAAAGTTCCAGACTTAGCGTAAACTCTCGAAGGTTTGTCTTGATTAGTGTAAATTCGGAATCTGCTTATCCATTGGCTATAAGTAACTTTTTTGTGTTCAAGTCTTTAGATGACAGATCATGCTGGAGTAGGTGTGCTCTTGCTTGCGTAAAGACAGCTGTGCTATGGAGGTTTTTTTTTTAAATCTCAAAAGTTAACGTGATTCAAGAGAGTGATTTTGCTAAACAAACTGAAGCACACTCGTCATTACATTAAAAGATAGGAAAACAATTCTGAGAGTCAGCAAGCATAAAGGGCCCAGAGTCGCCGTGGGATGCCACAGGTCGACTCACCCAGTCAGACGTATGTACACCAGTGTGAATCTTCAAAATTCTACCCCAGTCTTGGCTTTGCCCCCCCTCCCCCCCACCCCCCAAAACAAAGGAGAAAATACCAAAAGCATTTGCCTGCCCTCCAACAGTCAGAGACAGGTTCAGAGTTGCTTCTGTGAGGGGACCAAATGTTGGCTTTGATCTTAGGCTACCATGTGCTTTTTGGAAACAGTGCGGGGAGAGGAACATCAGAATAATGACCAAAGAGCAGTGACCTCCTGTGGCCAGCGTGCCTCTGTTGGGGCTGGGTTTCCATGTGTCCATCTGTTTTCTGGGGGTAGTTTTTTCCTTCTGGGGACCATCTCTGCCTGGCTGCCATGGGGAGCACCTCACAAAGGGCTGGCAAGAGCCTTTTTCGATCTCTTGATCATGCTGGGGTGGAACTCGGTATGACGCCGGGCGTGCTTTGTGAGGTGGTCACTCCTCATGAAGCGCTTCTCACACAGCGGGCAGCGGAACTGCTTTTCCCCAGTGTGGGTCCGGTAGTGGCGGGTCAGCTCATCTGAGCGGGAGAACTTTTTAAGGCAGTCTGGCCACGTGCAGGGAAAGGGCCGTTCACCTAAGAGAAGGGAATCAAGACAGGACACAGTTTAAAGGACATGCCAAAAAAAATTGTGAAGGTCATGTATGGCTGACAGGCCTTATCACATGGGATAAACTCCTTTCCAAGAGTTTTATGGGCTGTACTGTATCCACTCCCCAACTCCCCAAAACTCTCAGTTAAAGTCCTAATCCCCAGATCTCAGGATGTGGCTGTACAGTTGTCTTCCATATCCATGGGAACCATATCTGTGGATTCAACCAATCATGAGTGGAAAATATTGTGAAAGGAAAAATTGTCTCATACATACTGACATTTTTGTCCTTTTCTATAAGAGTGTGCACAGGATCTACAATATAGAGGTGATTCCAGTATACTCACTGTATGCAAACACTTGCATGTAAAAAAAGTTGTGTATGTGTCAATTCTCTCCTTCCATCTTTATACTGGGATCTGGGGATCAAACTCAGGTTGACTGACTTCCATGGCAAGTACTTTTATCCACTGGCCAGCTCACCAGCCCAAATACTTGCATTTTATGTATAAGACCTGAAATGTATAAAGGATTCTGACATAAAAAGGGGTTGGTCTTTACACAGTCCTTAAAGAGGTAACGAAGGTTAAATGAGACCATTGGGATAGGCCTTCGTCCCATGGCTCGTGTCCTATAAGAGGAGCATGGTGAGAAGGCAGCCATCTATAGCAGAGACCTCAAAGGAACTACCACAGCTGACACATGGCTCTTGAGTGTCCAGACTCCAGATCCATGAATCCAACCCATCTGCTGACTAAGCCATCAGTCTGTGGTTCTCTGTCACAGAAGCCCCGAGAAGCTCACACAACAGAGAAATTGCTGAGAAGGTTTTCTAAGTAAATAAACTTGGTACTTTGAACCCAATGCAGCACTCAAACAAAAGTGATTATTTTCTAGTTTTATTCTATGCAATTGTGGGTGCCATGAGTTTTCTCAGAGGAGGTCAAAGGCTGAGCCCTTTGCTAAATTTCCTGGCACTGTAGAGAAAAAATAGAGAACTGAGGCTCTGGTCCAGTCACCCTCCCTTCTTCAACAAATGTTTCTCCTAGATGCCCCCAGGGCTATAGCCACCTGGCATCTATCAGCAAGAATCTGGTGACAGGAGTCCTCATCGCTGGTGAGGTAGCCTGGCAGGCCTGAGCATCGCTGCTGCAGACTCTTTCATTGATGTGAAATGTAAAAGTGTGTGTTTGAGCCATCACTTCTTCACTGGCTCTTCCTCAAACTAAACAATCCCAATTCCATCCATGTTCCTCCTCTTCTTATAGGTACAGGCAGAGAGTAAGTAAGGGCTTCCTATTCACTGTCTCCCTGGACTCTCACAGGATACCCCACAAGATGGCCATTGCACAGATGAGAAAATGGAGACTTGGAAGGTTAGATTACTTGCTCAGGGTCACACAGAGCAGAGCTCACTCTGTCTGCCTGACGTCAAGCCCTGTGCTCCTAGCCGCTCAGCTGTCCTGCCTCTAGTGAGTCATGAGGACTTGGCACTCTTTGCACCTCCCTCCTGATTCTGACTGTGCTCCTTTGGAGTCAATATTGTCTCTATGTTGCACTCAGAAGACAGCTAAGTCCTGCTTGGAAGATATGCTCAGGATAGCATTAACAACCTAACCCACTCTATCACCCCCACCATCACCACTAAGTGGCAGCAAGGGAGGATCTGTGTCCTCACCTGGGAAGGGCACACACCAGCACAAAAGCAGAGCAAGCTGGTTGAGATGAAGACCTCACTTGCTCCTCTTGCAAGTACCTGTCGTCACCCTGCTCTGGGGCTGCCTGCCTGCTCTTCAGACTGTTCCAAGCACAGCCCAAAGCAGCTGCTTCATGCACACAACACACAGGCTCCTGCTTCCACAGAACTCTGCAGACACGCCTTTCGGTAGGTGTGAGGAGTGAATATTTTCTCACTCCTATCTCAGGCTTCCTGGAAGCTGGAGAGAAACTGCAGAGGCTGGGAGCTGTCCAGCATGGTGCATCTGATTCACTGGAAAAATCAGACCTGTACTGATATCAGAGATGCAGAAATAAGAAAGCCAACCAACCTTGTGGTAATCTATACCTGCTGTGTTTGCTGTTCTCCAAGCAGAGCCTGGGCCTAACACTACACAGCCTACTCGTTCTTGTGGTGACAGGGAAAAGCAAGTCCATATGCAGGCTCAGGTATGACTCCTCAGCGCAAAGCAGAAAGGCTGGCGCCAACCCAGGAGAGAGCTGGGAACCTGAAGTCACAATTCATGGAGAGCTCCCAAGGGGCCTGAAAAGAGGTGACCACAGGAAAGCTTCCACTGAAAAGTCCAGCAAAGACATGGGCTCAAAACTCTACTTTAGCAGCTTGAGCTGAGCATAAACAGCATTTTCACCTACTTCAGTAGACCTTTGAACAAAAGTTGAAGCATTGTTGCCCCAACTCTGTAAAATGGAGCTTCTTGTGTCAAGGAAAATGTTCTATGGGACTTTTGTGTCTTACACCGCAAGCATTTAGCAAATGCACAGGCTTATATGCAGTCATCCCTTCCCCTGTACCCATGGCTCCAGGACCCCAGAACACCCCCCACCCCACCATGGATATCAAAATCTGAGGATGCTCAAGTCCCTTATATAAAATGGTATAGCCTAAGCACATCTTATATACTTTGAATGATCTAGGCTACTTATGCCTAACACAATGTAAATGCTATTTAAATAGCCATTATACTTCATTGTTAATGGCAAGGGGAAAAGTCCATACATGTCTGGTAGGAACACATTTTTCTATTTTTGACTTGCATTTGATTGAATCCATTGATATGGAACCCACAGACCCAGGGCCAGTGTTCATAGGCACACACATGTGCTTAATCTGTTAATTTCAAAATCACTAATATTGACCAAAACCACCTCAGACTAAACCTTTTCAGGCATTAATACTGAAGAAGGCTGTGGGGCTGTTCTAGAAGTAGACTGCAGCAAAGTCCTCTCTATCCCTAAAGAAACATGTATGGGGAAATGTTCTTCTAAGCATGGTATATTAAAAATATGAGGGCTAGCTGGAGAAATGGCTGAGCACTGGCTGCTCTTGCAGATGCCCAGGTTTGATTCCTAGCACCCACATGGGACCTCACAACTGTCTGTAACTGCAGTTCCAAGGGATCTGACGCCCTCTTCTGACCTCCAAGGGCACTGCGCGACATGGGTGTACTCACATACATGCAGGCAATACACCCATACACATAAAAATAATTTAAATATATATATATTTATATGTCATATCATACATATGAAGAAAACATGAGGACACAGAACCTGTGTGCAGGGCCATGAGAAGGCCAAAGCAGCACATCAGAGCCTGGTAGTGGAGGGCTTTCCTGATAGTGCAGCTTACTCATTGGCATATGTACTGATACGTCAACTGAGTCAGGAGAGGGAGGGGTTAATCTGGGGGTCTGTGTCTACTGTGGGAAAAATGGGATCAGAAGGCCACTCAGTTAGGCACAGCTGCAAAGGGGAAAGGCACTGGCAACTTTAGAGGATGGTTTCATAGAAGCATCAGCGAGTGAAAGGTGTTGTGCTTACAACTTACACAGAACCTCAAGGGTAGTCAGTGTTCATTCCCATGGGAGTCACTTCCAGCCTAGTTTATGGCTGGTCACCATTTGTGATTGCTCCCACTGTTCCTAACAAGTGCTGCCATTGACGCAGTGTCCTCATCTCAAGGTGTTTCAGAGAGAAGAGAGGGACACCACAGGGCCCAGAAGCAGCCCAGGGCCAGGAACAGCCTTTGTTGGACTTATTTGGTTTGTATACCAAAGCTGATGGTTTCTAAACAGTTAACAAATTGAGCTGCTGGAGTAAACACCAGATTTGATTCTCATGGAGTCCTTTGGCAGCAGCAGGCAGGTTGGGCCCATTATCCAAACAGGGCTTAGCAACCTATGGCCCACAGGCTAAATCTGGCCAGCCAGGAGCCAGGACCACATGGCTTTTAAAAACAAGCATCTCACAGCAGAGAAAGCAGTATGAAATCAGTCTTCCTGCCCACATGCTAAGTTCTAAGGGTCACAGTCACACCCCTGCTTCCACTATTGTATTTGACTGCTGTGGCTCTGAGCAGGTGTGACATGGACCGTGTAGCCCACAAAGCTGGAAATATTATCTAGCCTTTACAAGAACCTGATCAACTAATGAAGGCAACAGATTGGACCTTCTGTGTATTTGTAAGAGGATCTGCAGTTTGCTCTTTTTCACCACCATACCCCACTGGAAAAAGTGCACAAACTGTTCGTTACATTAATGGTACATGAATGTCAGACACAAGGTGTCGTTGAGAAAATGATGCAAGGTTTGCACCTAAGAAAGTGTGGAGAAGAATCCAGGCATGGAGGACCTGCCTATAATACTGTCACTCAGGAGGCTGAGACAGGAGGACTGCCATGAGTTTGAGACAAGCCTGAGACATGTAGCAAGACCTCTCAAAGCAAACAAAACAAACAAAAAGGAGAGAATGGAAAACCATGTAGAGAGGAGCACGAGGCTGAATGGAAGGAGAGAGCTGCTGAGGAGGAAAGGAGGCTGAGGAACGATGGCACACCACCTGGGAGACCAAGTCGGGCTCACTCTTCTAGCTCAGTGCTGAGGTCCAAAGGGCAATGACCAGCCTTCTTCATGCCTCGCACACTCATGGCAAAGCACTATCAGTCAGAGGATCTTTAAGCCTGTCTGCAGTATTCATGAGAATTATCATCCTGGAGGGGGGGAGCAGACTAGTGTCAGAGCTTTATTTCTGGCTTTCACAGGAAAACACACCCAGAGGCAATGACACAATAAACTCTGCCTTACTGGAGCAGAGCTATGAACAGCCCAAGTTTCCGAGAGTTCTCATTATTTACATAGCACTTCCCGCCCCTCTCAGCACAAACTAAGCACCTCTTGCTGACAGACTCTGTTCAGATCATAAAATAAACTCGATCAGAAAAGCTACTGAACTTGGCACAACCCGAGT